GACCCAGTCGCCGTTGATTTTAGCTTTGCATCTGTGGCCGGACTGCATGAGCAGTTTACAAACAATCGAAGGAAACTTATTTTAAGATGCCCCCTCCCCCCAATCCCCAGTAAACAGGCCAGACCACATCACAGTAATCTCGTGAGTGGGTTCTTTAACGTCCCCTGCCTAACCAAATTAACTAATTAATAGATGCAGGAGACGGGGTCTAAGGTTTATTCGTCCTTATCCGAGAAGACTAGAATGTCTATCCATTTCTTAATATTATAGAAAGGTAGCAAATTCTCCTAACCGCCGGGAGGCGGTTAGTTAATTAAAAATAACTACGGAATGTTCAGTGACCTCAACCAGGCATGTATCCAGAACGCATTTTAATTCAGTGTCGTAAAACTAACACCAAAATAATCGCAACAGCCAACCAGAATGAAGGAAACGATTACAAAGAGCCAATAAGAACTCAAAGTAAAAGCCAGCAAACTGCCAGAAACGCGACGGACGAGGGTGACAGGGGCGCAATTGGCATTAGTTTTGAATCTGAGACACCGCAAAGAGTTAAGGGGTTTTCTGAGAACACAACACCATGACCTTGACGGGAACTTCAACCTTGAACCTTTCAGTTCGAAGCTATCGGGTATCTTGTAAGAAAACTGTCATTCAATAACCTACTTTACCATCCAAAAGTCCTGTTAAAACTAATCGACTTTTCATAAATCTTACCTCTACTTCAAAAGCCTTGACATATCGTGATGCCTTCATGGTGGAGAGAGTAACTTGGTTATCTTCCAGCTGTTGGAAGACATCGTCTGTTGCCCTGTAAACCGGAACAAACACTAAGAATTCAGTCGTAGAAATAAAACAACTTAGAGTATACAAGAGGTCAGGTAAAACTTGCGTCACTGGAAAGAATATAACGATAACAATAGATCATGACCGAGAAAACGAAATTCAAACCAGAGTAGGTGACATCTGTTTGCTGAATTAAAAAATCTCAAGTACTGTTAGGATAAAACTATGCGAAACTTCTTGATTTATTTTCGTTTGTTTTCTATCTCAAGCTATCGTAAATTCGTACTTGAGTCTAAAATGACCACGATCTTTGTAAGGCCCAATATCCAAGGTGATTTGTTCCCAACTCTCTGCAATGCCTGTAATAGCCTGACAACAAAAAGAAATGATCGCAAAAAACGTTAACATAGGAAGGTGCGCCTAAGCATATACGTAGATTTTAACTCTGGTTATCAACAGCTCAAAAGTGAAATAATCCAACGAGCGCGCGTTGGATATGAGATGATAGATAGCCAACGAGGCGCGTAGCGCCGAGTTGGCTCTAATCATCTCATATCCAACAAGNCATAATTACTTGTTATATTCGTCTTCTCATCCATCTCACGTTAAGAATTCCATTCCTTTTTCTCAGTTTCTAAGACTTCGTCGTTTATGTAGTAATGACTCTGATTTTCACCACAAATCAGAGTCAATGTGCCAGTTCTTCGATAAACGTGGTTACCCTGTTTCCGTCGTTCAAGCGGGTTACCACCGCGCTCAACTTATTGATCGACATTCAGCACTACAAACGTCGCATAAGGAAGATTCCGACCGCATTCCATTCACTCTCACGTTTCACCCTCACAACCACTCAGTTAAATCCATCATTCTTAAAAACTTCAAATTACTTCAAAACGATCCAGAGACAAGCACTATCTTTTCGCAGCCTCCGCTCATTTCATTCAAACGCGACAAAAACTTAGGCAATTTTTTGGTCAGAAGTTCTTTTCAGACTAATGAGCAACCAGGCACTTTTAAATGCGCTCGTGCACGATGCAAAACGTGTCCTTTCATTCACAACACTGATAAAATATCGGGACCTAAACGATCCATTAAGATCACCGATCACTTCACGTGCACCTCCGCTAATGTAATCTATTGCATAACTTGCACTTATTGCAAAAAGATATACATCGGCGAAACAGGCAGAAGACTAGGTGACCGATTCCGAGAACACCTTCGAGACGTGGAAAGGAATGACAAGGACACATCGAAACCAGTCGCTAGACATTTTAATTTACCTAATCATTCTAAGCAACATATGGCAATCTGCGGTCTTTCCTTGCACTTAGGTGGCACGGAAAGCCGTAAAAATCTTGAACAAAAGCTCATCTTTCAAACCGGCAGTCTAAATCCCACAGGGATCAATGAACGCTTTTCATTCCACTAATTTATTCATGTTTTTCTCGTTGCCATGCACCCACCAATAACGTAGCTCCATTTTCTGCCTTTAAAAGCACACACAACCCACAATTCCTCTATTCGCTCCGACGAAGGGCTAACGCTCGAAACGTCAGCTTTTGTAATCATTACGGTGGCCAATTTACCATTTCAACTTTGTTAATATATCCAAATTATTTCGTTACTCCCACCGACGCAGCCCCAAACAGTTTCTTTCGAAACTATCAGCCTTTCTTCCTGTTATTAGTCTAACTGTCTCTGCGCGCATCTGCTGCTCACGTAATTCTCGTCACGGGGAAACTACACGTCACACACCATGCGAGCGCGTGCGCGCGCTAAAGAAGAAACCTTAACGAACGAAGGGTTTCAAACGTACACTCAAAAAATCCTCTGAAACGAAAGCAAACCCGTAAGACTCACTACGCTGTCACTTTCTGTTGAGTGTGTCGTTTTAACAGAAACCACTTCTGGTATAACCAGTGACGCTTTTAGTCAAATATAAAAACTGAAATCCAACATCTAGAGCATCATAGTGAAAACTTGCCGCAAGGTATCCTGTGTTGCAGAGCAATTTTCAATTTAATGTCGAAAAACTAAAGCCAAAGTAATCCCAGTGACCAATTCGAAGAAAGGTTCACATTATCATGAGCCGATGAGAACTCAAAGCGAAAACAAGTAAACTGCGCATGACCCAGTCGCCGTTGATTTTAGCTTTGCATCTGACTGGTTAAGTGGATAACAAAGTATTTTTGGATCAATCACAGAGCAGAGTGAAGTAAAACCAAAGCTCTCCATGATTACTTTCGACACTCAATTTAAAAATTGCTCTATTCCCAAACGATGAGAAGGAAAAGTAAGCAACAAGATGAATTAACTTACCATTCTGATCAAAAGGCTTTTGAACCTCAGACTTGATCTGTGCCCAGTGCCTGTCTCTCATAGCCGGGTTCTTCAGGTCTTGGATCAACGGCATGGTGCGCTTGAACTGCTCGATACGAGACTTGATGGAGTCACAAATCTCCCAGTTTTTGTCCTGCGGGGGAAAAGTATGATACACTTAGGGAGTACAAGAGAACGAGCAGTTATAAGTCACGTTTTCATCAACCTGTTCCTATGAAGAGTCCCATTCCGATTTTGCCCCAGATCTCTCACTCTCAGCACAGCTCCTACCTGCTCCCAAAACCACAAATTAGGATTACATGTATTATTTAACAATAGCCTCCATTTGGCACGAAAATGTACTCAGACATTCGTCCCCTGATATACTACTATCTGTTCCGTGAGTCGAACAGTTTCCGAGAACGAAGCTTGGGGAAACTGAGAGCTTCGAATGTTAAGAATTGGGGAATATCACTAAATATTCCTTACCTTAAGTGGCGGGACTTAAGGGGTCACATGACGCGTTGAGACTAATAGCACGTCGACGAATTTGAACTATCCCTACCTTTACTTCTCGAACCAGCTTATTCAACTTTTTGAACAACAACTGCGACGTAGTCTCCATGTCGGTGGTGACCAGCTCTTCGAACTTGCCAACCTTCCAAGCATCCCACAGGTCTTCCCATTCATTTGTGATGCTCCAGATCTGCTCCAAGTATTCTAGATCTTTCTCCAGCCCTTGTAGATCCTTTGACGGAGGCTGTTCAATCTTAAAAATGTTTAATCCTCGTCTCAGTTTGCTTTCTTGTGTCTTCAAATTGATGACTTGTTCATGGTACGTTTTGACCTCTCCCAAAGCCTAAGAAAAAAATGTTGAATTCATTATGCACGCCCTTAAATCATAACAAAGTGGCATGACTGGACTTGGGCTCGACATTAACTGTAGCCCACTACCCACAGGCTAGTAGAAATTCACTTTTTCGATTTCCATCAGCCAGTTTGGCTAGTAAACAAATTGAAATTGTCGTAACATCTAAGATGTCATTAGTCACTTGGCTAGTAAGTTGAAGAGTTAGTGTCGAGCCCTGCTTATACTTTGATTCTATACTCTTCAACACCTCAAGAAAACGGCAAGAAGTTTCCCAGGCGCCGAGAATTTTTCTTTTCGCAAACTAGTTTTTTTTACACGCGAGACAGATAACTTTCGGAACGAAGGTCTGCTCGAGGTGTATTGATGTATGGAGTGTAGTCACTACTAACAGAAACCAACTTTCATTTGATTGTCAAAAGTAATCCGGGACTGCCTTTAGGTAGTTAGGTGTTTTCACTTTGGTTACTTTGTTTTTTCTTTTCTTTTAAGGACACTCAAGCAAATAGCGCTCTAAAGGTCCCAGTGTCACGATTCAGAGATCTTCCTTCTCAGCTCCACAAACACTCTACATATACATACCTCTTTCACAGAGATGGAGTTACTGAATGGTCCTTTGTTCTGGAAATCATCAAACAGTGTTGAGACAGTTTTCTTAAACTCCTCTGAAGAATGAATCAGCCCTGTTTTGAACTTCTCTTTACTCTTCTTCAGCATAGCATCACTGTCAATCAAACACTGCTGGAAGGATACCCATTCACCACTCAACTGGTCAAGCATCTGTTGTACCTGTGGGAAAGTGGACAGTTAAAAGCATGAAAGGTTCAGTTCTTGTATCCAAAAGAGGCAAAGAACTGTTTCGCAAGAAAGAAAAATAGGAGGAAAGTGGGAAAAGTTACCATCTCTCTTATTCTATTTCTGGCAGTAAACAGAATGCAGGTCACATATGAACATAGCGATGGCTTTTCTCACCAAAGAGTCTCTGTAGCGCAGTGGTAAAGCGTCAGGGCGAATCCTCATGCGGACTCAAAATGAGTTTTCTTTTTCCATGCTTGTTACTAGATATCTTACTTTTAGGAAATTATGGTTGAGAGATTATGAACGTCATGGTCACATTTAAAAGAAACAAGGCATTAACAAGATTGTAACTAGCACATGGAATGAAAGAAATACTCAGAGGCTTTCATTCGAGTGGTTGCACAGTCTCTAATCCCTTCACCACAGCGTAAATAAAGAGTACTGCACAGAAGCTTTACAAACACAAGTCGTTTATAACTAGTTTGAAGGAAAGAAGCAACAAAGAAGTCAAAGCAAGGTTTGAATTTTTGATTGGTCATGAAATTATTTTACCTCCTCTGGTATAGCAACTTCATACTTTTCAAGAATAGCAAATTGCTGATGTAGAGGTGGAAACTTGGCCTCGATGTTTGACAGATCTTGTTGGAGTTGTTCCAACAGAGCCAGACTATCACCCAACTGATCTAGGGTTTCTGGAGGAGCACTGAGTCTGTAAAGATGATATCAAATGCACCACAAGTAAGCAATACTCGCAGAGTAATTAAATAAGTTGCCTTACTTTACAGCGTTTCAGTTATTGGAGGGTTATGCATGTTTACGAAAGGGAAGATTAATCAGGGTAAAGCATAAATGGCTTTCAGTCTTCTCTTTGATTGTTCAAAAACTTTAGCAATTCTCCCGATGAAGAAGACAGAAAGCTAGAATTAATACCCACCCTGTTAGTCACGTCTATTCGCACTTCAGGTAATTTTTCTAGTTTACTTTGACTTCCCACAAGCCTCTTGAGATATTTCTACCCTAGGTTTTTTACAAGCACAACTACCTTAAAATTGCTAGGAATAAATAACTAAACGGTGCTCAATACTTACTTTTTGGCATTGTCCTTTAAGAAGTTGTGCAGCTCCAGCAGTTTTTGGCTACCCATTTCGCGCAGAAGAGTGGTAAACTTGCTCTGCCATTCATTGCAATGGCTCAAAAGAGCGAACTTCAGTGGCGAGTTATCCAGGAGCACAAAATCAATATTGAGCACTGTCTCCTCTTTCTGGAAGTTATTAGCAATTTCTGTGTACCTGGAGAGTTTCCCCCAAAATAATATATGATTAACTGCTCATGTTTAAAGGGAAATGTCTAACAGCTACGGGGCTATTATGGCTGTAGAATTCACTTAAATAGCAAAGGAATAGTTAAAAATCGTAGAACATGAGGGAAACACGGAAAAGCCAGAATAGAACATGGATGACCAAAACTTCATACGATCAACTCGCGGATTAGAGCCGGTGTTACAAACAAAAACAGCAGTCCCAATTTGTATGGAACAATCACTGCTACCTCGACTTCCTTTTCCCTTTTGACCAAATCTTGCTTAAATATTGTCATTGAAAAGCTACCGGATTCCCAAAGCTGAAACTCACTGCAGGCTTTCCATGTAGTTTGAGTGAGGAAATTGCACTTTAGCCCTTTAAGCCTTAAGAGAGACCAGCATCTAATTTCTCCTTACAATATCACCCCTGAGTCACACATAAAGGTCAGGAGAATAAAGGAAATGATCACTAACTAGAGGAACACGTGATTGTTAAACAAATTCTCCTCGCCGGCACCTTAAGAAATGCGTAAAGAACAGTAGAGAGAATATGCATACCGGTATTAGGGTGTAAGGGTTTAAGGCTGTTAGTTTCTAAAGAAACTGTTTGGCGCTGCGTCGGTGGGGGTAACGAAATAATTTGAACATATCAACAAAGTTGAAATGGTAAATTGGCCACCGTTACGGTTATAAAAGCTTACGTTTCGAGCGTGAGCCCTTCGTCTGGACAAAAAGGGTCCCGGCAGCGATTATTTAATCACAAACCTGTAGATGTCAGCATCAAACGAGGACACAGGTGGGTTTAGCCTCTGATATCTCCTGATGAAGGCATCCTTCTGTATCTCCCAGATTTCTCGATAACTAAACATAAATTAGCTTCAATGAGTCAATGACATTGGTGAATGGTTTGAATAGCAGCATAGTCTGAATTGCTAAGGTTTACAATGTTATTAAGGTTGAGATCTGACGTCAGCATTATCAGGCGCCTCTGGTCTATGTAACGACCTCACCTTTCCCCCCACACATCCCACCCCAGGGGAGGACATCCATCACACAGTAATCTCGTGCGTGGGAAATTAACGTCTCCTACCCCTAACCCTGCAGGAGACGGGACCTCCATTTATTCGTCCTTATCCGAGAAGACTAGAATATCTATCCATTTCTTGATATTATAGAAAGGTAGCAAATTCTCCTCAGTTATTTTAAGAGCATGAGTATTGGTCCGGCCGGGGCTCGAACCCTCGACCTCCCGCACAACACAATCGGGCGCTCTAACCAATTCAGCTAAGCAGGTGGCGGTTACTGAGTCACTGTACGTCTAGAAACATCAAATACAATTTTGGTGGATGACATTTATGACGCACATTGCCGCTCAAAAGTAAGTTGACAGTACCTCGAAACTCGATCCTCGCCCCTCGATTCATGACACTCGATTTTCGAAAACTTAGAGGATCCAGTCGAGTTTGGAGACGCTCGAAACGAGAAAATAAAGGAATTTTCCCGAGTTTAAGAAGCATGAATGAAAAATGCTCATAGAGCATTACTTTTTGTTACCTTCATGCTAGGTACTCTTGTGCTCAAGAATGGAGGTTTTACTGTAAAACTGCTTTATTACAAAGTTTATCTCTTCGGGTAACGTGCACTTTTAACCCCAAGGGGGTACTCGATATATTCCTGGGTGGGGAGGTGCGGCCCGGCCCCTGATACCCAGACCCTCTTTAAGACAAATATCGCTGATTTTCCTACCCTGTTTAAGACAGAATTCCGATTTTTGATACCCTGTTTAAGACATTTAATGTGCCTGGTATCAATGCCAAAATCAACGGAATTCAATATTAATTAAACTAAGAGCTTGTAACAATTTTGCTGTTTCTCTTTCAAGAAAAGATATCCTGTTTAAGACAAAAATTGATAAATCGATACCCTGTTTAAGACAAAAATCTCGAAAAACATACCCTGGCTGGCCGCACGTCCCCATTAAGCCTTTATAAGGGAGTATCCCCTCCCCGGGTTTTTAACATTAATTAGAACTCTAACAAAATTCTCAGTCATGATTGGCTATCTGTATACCGATTTGAACACTAATGGAAAAGTGTTTGCAATAGCTCTTATGCACGATAAGAAATTTTGCCTCAGTTTTGATTAATTGGCAATTTTGTATCGTTCCGTTAATACCAAATCGTGATTCCGCTTCGCGTTTGTCTAATTTTTTTTTCATCATTAGTTTGATTTCAGACCGAATTAGACTCCACTCGATTACATTACCAAATCGTGATTCCGCTTCGCGTTTGTCTTATTTTTTTTCATCAACAGTTTGATTTCAGACCGAATTAGACTCCACTCGGTTACATTGCAGTTATAAGCTAATCACCGCTTTTCGAGTGAGTGTCGCTAAAACCAAAACCAAAAACAGTCACAACAACCAATCACAGGATGAAAAATTCACGAGGAGCCCATAGGAATTCGAAATAAAAACACGTTAACTCCCTAAAGCGCGGGAAAACGCGGGTGACCAATTCGTGATTGATGATAATTTTGCATCTGATTGGTTGAGAGAGTGGCACCAGTTTTCTGGACCAATCACTTTGCGGAGTAAAACAAAACCGATGCAATCCCGGATTACTTTCGACACTCAGCTGAAAATTGCTATTCAGATTCATACCTATCCCAGGTGCTGAGGTATGATTGCAAATGTGAGGCGTTTGCTGACATTCCAGCCTTGATGCTGGCTTGGATTTTCTTTGTCTCTTCGTCTCTTTCAATTATCGCATAGACAGGCTGCAACAAAGCAAAACACACACAAAAGTTAACCAGCTGCCACCTTAAATGACCGTTTACAGCTTCCCTTTCTTTTCAGCCACTTTTTAAAGTAAAAATATTAACAATTTATATTTATATAATTTTTGTGATTTACCCAGGATATCAAATGCCCTTCTTTTTCATATTGATTGGGCGGGTTGAGACCAAATAAATATTTTTCTGTATATGTGACGGTATCTTTTACGTCTTCGCTATTCTGAAAATATATTGCATTTACCAAATGCTCTTCTAATCAAAATCAAAACTAGTAGATAATAACGAAATATAACATTTTCTGTATGATTATGTAATTTTTGTCTTCACTACTGCATGTCCTGTTATACTTACATCTTTAATAGAACGCTTCTTGGTGAGGATATCCGGTAGCCGTTGGAAAACTGACAAACAAGAAGTCAAGTGCACAGCAATGTTGTCCATCATGCTAGCAAGTTTTTTCAGTGTTGGTGAGAACTCCACCTAATTGTTACCAGAAAAGGCGAGGATACAAATGACTAGCGTCTGTTCTAATCCCTGATAACAATACCTCTATGAAATTTATGTAAAGATGAAATAAACAATTTTAATATAAGAGAAAAATCCCATCTGGAAACTCGATTTTTCTGTGAAATTTGACCTGCATAAACACGCTTCAAACCTTATCTCCCTCCAGTACAACTTTGACTCTTAGTAGAGGGTTTGGAGCACTCTTTCCATCTCCATTAATGGCTCTAGACAGTTCCTGCAATGACCATTTCACATTCAATCTGAATGCCTCTTCAGCCATACGATCCATTTTCTCAGTGTAGCGTAACCAATGGGCTTGCACCTACCAAACAAAACAGAAAAGACAAATAAGCCCGCAAACCGTTGAGTGTGATTCCCAGCTAAGCCGTTTCAACTTTTTTCCCATGATAAAGACTTAGAAATGACACATCTAAAATCAACAATCATAATACCTCTTGGCCATCATGTTTGAAAACTTCATATGTCTGTTTCATGATGCTAACAATCTCTACATGGGTAACTTGCAGTCTTGTCTGCACAATGCTTCGATGATTTTTCTGGAAAGAGTCAAAGGAGGATCAGCCGTTGTATCTAGCTCCTCGACCGCCTTTAGTCTTCAGCGTTAAACTACTCACTGAAAGCACCTTATCTACTACTTGACCTCGTCATCTCAATTGATCAGTTGATTGACTGAATGATCGAACTAATCAACCGGCCCCGGTTGTTCAAAGAGCGGATAACGCTATCCAACGGATAAATCGCTATCCAGCGGATAAGTGTTACCAAAACGTACTGCGCTATCCACCGGATAGAGATTTATCCAGTGCATAGCGCTATCCGCCCTTCGAACTACCGGGGCCTGATCAATTACTTAGTTGATTACTTTATTGATCAGTATACCCAAAATCTTGTTGAGCGTAGTTTACCTGTTCCTCTTCAAATTCCAGATTGTCATAGACTCTCTTGCCATCAATTTTGACAAGTAACATCTCACTGATCTTCTTGCAATTCTTGGAGATGGTCAGGTTTGCATTCTTGTAGTCATCCACAATATCTTGTACCTGTAAAATGAAAACTTGCAGTTATGGATCCGAGTAGCATAAAGTGCCTTTGTGATGTCTTTGTAAAATACAAACTCAAGGGCAGACTCGCGTAACTCTAAATTGCATAAGCTGGGGTTTAAAGACAACGATAAGTACATGTACCTTGCTGCAGTTATTCCTGCATTCTCCAATGAAGTAATCTGAGATTCCCTTTGAGGCCCATGATAGTTTGGTTAGACCTGGGTGAATCTTTTTGTCCAGTGATCTGATTCTCTCTCTGAACAAACCACGTTCTTCAGAGGACAAAACTGCTATGATCCTGCCAAACAAGCAACAATACCAAGTTCAAGTATGCAGCAATTTTTCCAAACGCCAATAGATATAGCCCTGCCACCAGCAAATGTAAAGGATGATAAGGAGAAAATTCACACACCACTTCTTCTTTAGATAGTATTTCAGTCTGAGAGTGTTTGATCAAATAGTTTTTGAACATAAGCTAGATGCATGTGCCTGAAAGAACCTCGCAGTAACAATAAACTCTTTCATTACACGACTCGGGCAGTCAGAGGGCCAATAACTAAAATCAACCAATCAAAATGCTCTATTGCCGGTCAATATTCTCTCAGTATTGGACCGGGCACTGTCCCGAATGCTCCCGAATGATACGGCACTTGTGTCCCTTTGAACTTCAGTCGTATAATAAATCTCTTATTAACCAAGCGCGAGGGCCGTAGTGGGAGAATATCGGCCCTCGGTCGACCTCAGGTCGATATTCTCCCAGTGCGGCCCTCGCGCTTGGTTAATAAGATATATAACATTACTCTACCTCTCAATGCGAAGAGCTAGTATCTTATGCCGGAGGAGCAGTTACTGTTATTAAACTCCAAGGCATTAAATACCAATTAACAAAGTTGACCACGTAGCACAGACCTGTTGTAGTCACGGACAACAAGCAAGACATTTTCCCTAAGAATACGTAGATCTTCCTTCTTCATGTACAGCTCAGAGACATAGTGAGGAGTCTCAAACATCAATTTTTCCCAGTAATGAATTTCGTTGAACAACTTCAGAAGGTTCCTGCAAAGAACGACATGTAACATTATTATACAGATATAAAAGAGCGGATTTTGATAGTCGAGTGTCATAAAACTAAAACCAAAGTAATCACAACAGCCAATCAGAAACCGACGAAAGCGCGGGAAAACGCTCGCGATCAAGTCGTTATTGTTTTTAATTTTGCATGTGATTGGTTGTGGGGAAGGCACGAGTTTTCTGGACCAGTCACGGATCAAAGTTAAGCAAAACCAAAGCAATCCCCGATTTCTTTCAACACTAAATTGAAAATTGCTATAATATAGCACTTATTTAGAGAAGAGATCTAATGTTGACAGCATATAGATGGAAAAATACATTTTTGATTAGAAATCTTTCCCTTTTCTCTCCATCGATTCAAGGATACATGGAGAAAAAGTCCGAGGTGACCTCTGATACACTCCTAGATTTTAACTGTCCTTTCCAATTATCATGTATTTCTTAATGAATCACACCAATTTTATGCTTAAAAACCTTCCTCTGCGCGCTCTTTTAATGAGATTGTCAGAGTAAAAATTGCTAAATAACCTAAACTAACCTGTCAAAATTAAGGTCAAGTGTCCCTGATCTGTCCAAGCTGCGTCGCATGAGGGGAATCTCTAACAGTCTGATAGCTTCCTTGTCAACAGTCGAAGTCCATTCATTAAAAGTCTTTCTAACAAATTCATCAAGAGCCTGGATGGATAGAGGAAAAATGGTGTTGAGCGCGTTCACAATGCTTATCAGTATAGAAAAACGTTTAGTTTGCACGAAGTCCTCAAACTGTGCAGATTTTTAATCGACAATAATTTGACATCTAAAGAAGCTCCTCCATGTAATTAAGTCAAAATATCTTAAGACAACTTTCAAATAAAACCTTCATCATGAGCGAATGACAAAAAAAATCAAACCATTGATAATTAAGGCAATTTTAACTCGCTCTTACATTTTCAAAGTCTATCATTTAAGGCAAGGGTAGAGATCTGTAGGCTTAATGTAAGGGGGAAAAAGAAAGAAAAAGAGAGAGCAGCAATCACATGATAAAATGCTGATTGATCGACTGAAAAAGGTTGAACTGGACAGGACAATATTTGACTTCTAGCTATGACACACACAGATGGAGAGCCAATTTTTTATCATCTGGCTCTCCCACTCAGCCGATAAGTACAGTTACTGCACTGCTTTAAACTAGATGTGCTGTACCTGAGCAAGTTGTTGGTATTGTGACCTGATTTCCTCCCCAGTCCCAATCAGTGGCAAAAAGAATGCCTTGTTCAAAACCTGTGAGATGAAGGAAAATTACTAACAAGGAGATAATTATATAGTTGCTTCAACTCCTTATTAGGAGAAATGAAACATAAAAAAAAATCAAAAAAAAATTAACAAGATTCAGTGCATACTTTGAACCTAGGAGTAACAGTTTATTACATGGGACATTCATTCAAGGAGGAGTAATCCTGAGAGAGGACTGTTGTCAGGACAACAACTGAAATCTCATCAGCCTCCTTATAGGCAGAAATAAGCAGCAGAATCATTTGATTCAGATGATGAATTCTACCCTTACAGTAAAATGTATTCTTATTGTCATGTTTTTGTGTTACGCCACCCAATAAGCACTTCCTTAAGGGAGTGTTTGCCTGATGAAAAAAACAAATGAATATGGCTACAGTACCCCAGGTTAATGATGGTCACCCATTGCTACCTTTTTGAGGACTAACCTGACCTGCACCTACCTTTTTGAGGACTAACCTGACCTGCACAGCCAAATTGTACAATCAAAAGTAAAGACCAATTTACAGGCCCAGTCAAGGAAGACAAAGTAGCATAAAAGCATCTGGTAGAATCCAGGTTAAGAGATTATCACTTCTAGCCCCAGCCCGATCACCATGTTGTGTCCCTTAGCAAGATACCATCACCTCACAGCACCTCCCCAGTCCACCCAGGAGTGTAAATGGGTAGCAATGAACTATCAGGATAACCTGATAAAATACTGAAGGGTAACCCTGGAGAAAATTTGTAGGACAGGGCTGGGCTCTAGCAGTGCCTGGTGGCCCCTGAAGCATTACTTTTGCTCTTGGGTGACTCAGGAATCTTAGGTTTTTCATATAAAGCATATGTTGGGCACCCTGGATTTCACACTTTCAGAGCACTGGGCTCCCTTCAATTTTTCTTAGAGCAAAGCCTTGTAGGATCTTTTGAAGGATCCTAAAAGATCTTCAGGAGGACCTTTGAGGATCCTTATGAGGATCTTCATGAAGGATCTTTTATTGCCAAAATCTTCAAGGATCTTTCAGTCTCTTTCCAAGATCTTTGAGAATCTTCAAAGAAGATCTTGTCAAGAATTTTGAAGATCTTGAAAGATGTTGGCAAGAAAACAAAAGATCCTTGAAGATCTTGCCAAGAACATTGAAGATCTTGACAGATTTGTCTGTGACAGACTAGTATCCCATCCACTACCTCAACCCTGGCCTCCCCATTAAAAACAATGATAGAGATAAGCATCTTACATTCATTGGTCGATCTATCCTTCTTTTCAGCATTCTTGCCCAGGCTGCTGATCCTGCATAACTTGGATACATAGGCGGCAAGTCCACAGTCTTGGTATTGAACTCTTTCTTAACAAGGTTTAGTTCCTCATTGAAAAGTTGGTACACTTCCACTGTTTTCTTGTCAATTGTACGTCTGATGGCCTAAAATACAACATACAAAAAACAATTTTAATAATCTCTCCTCTGTAATAAGCCCACCTCTCTTTTAGGCCTCCCACTCCAAAAGTTTCCAACTCTAAACTCCTCCATCTCTATTAAGTTCCTCTTATCTAAGGCTCCAAAGAAAGGAAGACTAGTTAATCTGGGGAACAACACAGAAGTAAAAAAATGACTTGCAATTTGGCCTTCATCAAGTTCTAAATAGCCCCCCTCTGATGAGTCTCCTTTCACATAGAGGCCTTGGAAATTAAC